GCCCCCCTGCCCGTTACACACCGCCGCCGCCCCCCCAGCCCGTTACATTCCGGCGTTGCCCCCTCCAGCGCGATTTTCCCACACGCCTCGTCCCCTCTCGCACTCCCCCGTGCCCGCGGTGCCCCTCGGTGCCCCACCGCTCACCGGGTACCGGAACATGGCGGCGCCGGCGCCCCCCGCCCGCAGGCCCCGCGCCGCCCCGCCAGGCCCCTCACCCCGCCGCGCATGCGCCGCCGCGGGCGCAGCCGCATGATGTCACCCGCGGAAGTGCCCCTCACGCCCCGCCCCCGCGCGCCGGGGGGGGCGCGGTCTGAATTAGCCGCGCCCCCTGGTGGTTCGCGGGGTGTGGGGGGGTGTCTTAAAAGGGACGCGTCCCTTTTCGTCCCGCGCGCGGCCGTGGCTGTGTCACCCACGTGTCACCTCAGTTCGCAGCCAGTGTTTCCCACGTGTCACCTCATGCACAGCCAGTGTCCCCCCCGATGTGTCCGCCCCCCGCCTCGAGTCCTGTCCCGTGTTCCCGGACGTGTCCCCCAGGTGTCACCCCATACGCAGACAGTGAGATGCGTCTCCCCCAGCTGTGACCCCCTGTCCATACCCTTGTCCCCTCATCCATGTCCCCTGTCCCCAGCTGTGTCCCCTGCCACGCCCCTCGGTTGTGCTCCCTATCTGCAGCTGTGTCCCCGAGCTGTCCCCTATGCCCCACCACGTCTCCTGTCCCCAGGTGTCCCCCTGGATGTGACCCTGTGATAAGTAGAGGCACCGGTTTTATTCCAAGCAAATTAAAATAAACAAAAGGTACTAACAAAAATAACTATTTCTGTATATTTACTAACTTATAGGCGTACCGTGGAGTCTGTAAGGTGAGGGGTCCTGTCTGGACCTAACACCAGGGAATCTTTTGCGGCCGGAAACAGGGAACAAATTATAAATAAAAATGTATTTCTCTGTGCCATGTGGATACAAAGAGAGGCCCTCCACGCCTTGCAATGTGGGGATGATGCAAGACCCCCCTGTACGAGCCCAGGGGAGATAAGTTACAACCAGCCAAAAGGTAACACCCACCTCCAAAGCAGGGAAATTACCTTTTAAGGCAAGAAACGGACAATGAATGAATATTCAACAACTGATATCGAAAGGGCATAAAAAGCGCGATTTTCAAACAATGTGTGTGCTCTTTGTATGATCCAGAGGTGCACCCAGTGCTGGAAATGGGTAACCAGCACTGCAATAAAAAACTCTTGCTATATTTCTTTGTCCTGCAGGTATTTTTGCCGTCTTCAAAATTCAAGAAAAGAAGTAACTTACAACAACCCCTATCCCCCACCCGTGTCCCCTCTGTCCAGTCCTGTCCCCTGTCCCCAGTCACGTTCCCCAGCTGTGACCCGTATCCATAGCCGTGTCCCCCTCTGTGTCCCCAACAATGTCCCCTGTCCCCAGCCATGTCGTGTCTCCAGCTGTGTCCCCCCAGCTGCCACCTGTATCCATAGCTATATGCCCAGCTATGTCCCCAGTAACGTACCCTGTCCCCAGCCGTCCTCCCGCTGCCACCACCCGTGTCGGGGGATGACACGTCGTCGCCACCGCGTGACCCCCGTGGGGACCAACTTCCTCAGGGCCTCCCAACCGGGGCCACCCCACATCCCTGCCCCACCTCTCCGTCACCTCCCGGGGTGACCCGGGGGCCACCCCTAGCTGTCGCCTTTGGCGTGTCCGGTGTCCCCGCGTGTCCCAGGTGATGGGCGGCTCCTCCCCGTCCCTCCCCTAGGCGCCTTCCCCGCGCCCGTCACTGGGGATTAGCGCAGGGACAGCCCTGGGCTCGGGGACAGGGCCACCCGCCACCTCGCCTGGATGTAGGAGGCCTAGCCGAGCGGTGACACCAAGGGTGACACCCCCCATCCCGGCGGTGGGCGACGACGGGGACCCCCCCGCGTCCCCCCAGCCCTCGGGGGCACCATGAAGGACCGGCTGGAGCAACTCAAGGCGGTGAGAGGGGGACCCCCGGGGACAGGGGCCACCTCGTGGGTTGGCCAGCATGGGAGACACGGGGATGGGGCTCCCCGGGACCCCACCCCATAATGGATGGGGGCGTCACGGGGAGGGGGGACCCCCAAATGGTTGGGGACGTCACGGGGGAGGTGTCAGCGAGGTGCCACTTCACGGTGCCTGGGGACGTCACGGGGATGGGGAGCCCCAAGACCTCATCCCATAATGGATGGGGGCATCACAGAGATGGGGGACCCCAAAACCCAAGTCCACAGTGGATGGGGACACCATGGGATGGATGTCACCGAGGTCCCACCCCACGGTGTGTGGGGGCATCAGAAGGGTCCCCAAGACCCTGTTCCATGGTCAGTGGGAGGTCCTAAGCCCCCCAGTAATGGGGTGTCATGTGAGAGGGACTGGAGGGTCAGCTCTGTGCGGTTTGGGGGTACATGGGGTATTTTAGGGTGACATCAGCCCCCCAGACAAGTCCTGTACCCCCCCCAACACCATAGGGTGCAAAGAGGGGACACCAAAACCCACCCAGGCCATGGAGGGTGTGGATCCATCCCCCAGCGGGATGGGAGTGAACTTGGGGTGCCTGGGGGTGCCAGCACTCCATCCCGCCCCTCACATTCCTGCCCCCATCGCCGCTTCCTCATCCCTTTTCCTGCCTGGCCGTGGGGCCCCACTTCCCCCCTTCCCCGAGGGGCTCCCCCTGCTCCTCAGTGTTGGCTCACCACAGATCGTGGGGATCCCAGGAGCCCCTCAAGCCGCGCCCCTGGCCCCCACTGCAGCAGGGAGGCTTGGCAGGGATTTACTGGGATTATGGAGCCATCAGATAAAGCCCTTGGGGGGAGCGAAAGGATTAATTTTATTTTTACTCCAGCGGGAGTGGGGGGTGCGGGGAGTGGTCCGTTCCCAGGGGTCTGGCCCCCTCCCCAGGACATCCCAACAGCACCCCCGGGGGGCTGCTGGAGCTGAGGGGGGCAAGGGGAGGCAGAGGGGCTGGGATTGGGAGATTTTGGGATGGTGGGGAGTTGGGGGCACACGGGTGGGGGGCCAGGCATGACACCAGGGTGAGGGGCACCGACCACCTTTGTGTCCCTAGGGCTGCCCACGTGGGGCCACATTTGGGATCACAAACCTTGTCCCAACTCCATCTCATCTCTGTTCCTGTCCCCTCTCTCCAGATGAACCCAACAATCCCTTAATTCCCAGCCAGATGTGAGCAGGGCTCAGCCTCCCCCCCTGCTGCAGATGTCCCTACCCCCCCCCCCCCCCCCCCCCCCCCCCCCCCCCCCCCCCCCCCCCCCCCCCCCCCCCCCCCCCCCCCCCCCGTGCCACCACATCCACATGGCTACTCCCCCTGCGTCCCCTGGCACCCGGGGGGGGTCCCCAGGGGTGCTGGTGGGGCAGGGGTCACCCCGGGGCGCTGTGTCCCACAGAAGCAGGATGCGGATGACGACGCAGAGGAGCTGGAGATCGCCGTGGACAACACGGCCTTCATGGATGAGTTCTTCTCCGAGGTGAGAGAGGGCTGGGAGCGGGGCTAGGGGGTGCAGGGCTACCTCCTAACCCCCCCCAAATCCTTCCCAGATCGAGGAGACACGGCAGAACATCGACAAGATCTCGGAGAACGTGGAGGAAGCAAAGAAGCTCTACAGCATCATCCTCTCAGCGCCCATTCCAGAGCAGAGTGAGTGTGCTGACAGTGTCCCCAAGCATCTCAAGTGCCCTCTGGGTCACAGGTAGCCTTCCTGGGGACATTCCTCACCTCCATGATCCCACAGAGACCAAAGATGACCTGGAGCAGCTGACAGCAGAGATCAAGAAAATGGCCAACAGCGTCCGGAACAAGCTGAAGAGTGAGTGGCCCTTGGGGCCCCTGTCCCCACGGCCCTGCTGGGGACACTGGGATCAAGAGGTCCGGCAGCAGGGAAGGTCCCTGACGGGTTGGAATCCGGCTCTTTCCAGGTATGGAGAGGAACATCGAACAGGATGAGGCGCGATCCTCCGCTGACCTCCGGATACGCAAATCCCAGGTGAGCTCTGGGCCCTGGGAGCCACTGCTGGGGCTGTCCCCATCCTGTGTCCCAGGGTCCTGAGTGCCCTGTGCCACCCTGTCCCCTGTGAGCTGGGCATGTGGCATGGCCAGGTGTCCCCAAGTGTCCCGTCTCTGTCCCCAGAAGCACCCAGTGCTCCCAGTTCCTCTGCCCTGACCCCAGCACTCTGTCCTGTCCCCCTTGGGCTGGGACATGCCACATCCTCGGTCTCCTGTGTCTCGTGCCACTGTCCCCACCCCCAGCACTTCCCTCCTACCCTGCGTCCCAAGGCTGGGGATGTGCCATGCCCAGATTGTCACCGGTCTGACAGTGACACCCCCATCCCCTAGTCCTGTTCCCTGGGGTTGGGACATGCCACGTCTGGGGTGTCCCCGTTCCCAGCGCCCAGTCCTGTCCCCCGGGGGCTGGGAGGCACCGTGTCTGGGGTGTCCCCATGCCCATGTCCCTGTCTCCATCCCCAGCACTCGGTCCTGTCTCGCAAGTTCGTGGATGTCATGACCAAGTACAACGAGGCGCAGGTGGATTTCCGGGAGCGCAGCAAGGGTCGGATCCAGCGGCAGCTGGAGATCAGTGAGTGACCACCACCCGAGGGAGGGAGGGGGGAAGAATTGGGAAGAAGGGTGGAGCTATTCCCTACAGACTCTGCCCCTTTTGGGAAATGGGTGGAGTCAGGCCATACGGACCCCGACCTTTTGGAAACATGGGAGGGGCCAGTCCTTACAGACCACGCCCCAAAAGACACTCTTTTGGTAAAGTGGGTGGAGCCAGGCCCTACAAATCCCTCCTCTTCAGCAAAGTGGGGGCTGTCAGGCCCCTGAAGACCCCATTCCTTTGGTAAAGTAGGTGGGACCAGAGCAAAGAGACCCCACCCCTCCGGTGAATAGGGTGGGGCCATTCACACAAGCCCCACCCCTTTAGGGTAGTGGGTAGAGCCAGGCCCCAAGTCACCCATCATTTTGGCGATGTGAGTGGAGCCCAGCCCCACACAGACCCCGCCCATTACTCTACGCGGGCGTGGCCTGGTCCCACCCCTTCCCACCTTCCCGCAGCTGGCAAGAACACCACGGACGAGGAGCTGGAGGAGATGCTGGAGAGCGGGAACCCCTCCATCTTCACCTCGGGGGTGAGCTGAGGGACACGGAGGGTCTTAGGGGGATGACAGTGCCAGGTTCCCCTCCGCTGACACCCCCAACCCTCGTTGCAGATCATGGACTCGCAGATCTCGAAGCAGGCGCTGAGCGAGATCGAGGGGCGGCACAAGGACATCGTGCGCCTGGAGAGCAGCATCAAGGAGCTCCACGACATGTTTGTGGACATCGCCATGCTCGTGGAGAACCAGGTACAGGGGCACAGCCACGGGCACAGGGGGCACAGGGACTATCAGGGACCTGTGTGTGGGGGCACAGGGACCAGCAGGGACCTGGGCATGGGATCAGTGGGGACCAGCAGGGACGCCCATGTGGGGACAAGCAGGGAGTTGTGCACAGGGATGGGCAGGGACACATGGGGGACTCACGGAGTCACAGGGACAAGCAAGGGAGGAGCCTGTGTACAGGGTTAACAGGGCTGAGCAGGGACCTGGGCATGGGGTCACAGGGACAAGTCTGTGGGGTCACAGGGACAAGACAGAGACCTGGGCATGGGGTCATGGGGATGAGCAGGGACCTGGGCATGGGGATGAGCAGGGGCCTGAACATGGGGATGAGCAGGAACAAACAGGGACCACCGGGGCAGGTGTGCAAGGTGGGTGGGTGCCAGCACCCCTGGGTGCTCTCTCTGTCCCCTCCCCACCGGTGCTCCGTAGGGATCCATGATTGACCGCATCGAGAACAACATGGATCAGTCCGTGGGGTTTGTGGAGAGGGCCGTGGCTGACACCAAAAAGGCTGTGAAGTACCAAAGCGAGGCCAGGAGGGTGAGATGGACCGACAGCTCCAGTGTCCCCTGCTGTCCCCTCCATTGCCTGCAGTGTCCCCAAGGCACCCCCAGTGTCCTCCTCTGACCCTCAGTGTGCCTGCACATCTCCCAGTGTTCCCAGCATCTCCCCGTATCCTCCAGCAGCCAAGACCCTCCCTGTGTCCCCCCCAGCCACCTCTTGTCCCTCCAAGCCACCCCTTGTCCCTGCCAGCCACTCTTACGTCCCCCAGTCACCTCTTGTCTCCCCATGACACCCTCAGTGGTCCCCCAGCTGTCCCCAATGATTCCCACCTCCCCCAGAGACCCCAGCTGGTCTCCACTCACCTTTTGTCACCTCCATGGGGGGTTGGCAGCTCTGTCCCTCTCTGTCCCCCCCTCAGGTGTGATGAGCTGGGGAGGGCTCAGCCCCTCCTGCCCTGTCCCAGGGCTCTGCAGCATCTCTGGCTCTTCAGGGCCCCTTGGTGCCCCCCTCTGGTGTCCCCCCCCATGGCACAAGTGTCACCACCCCTGTGTCCCCCCAGAAGCTGCTGGTTTTGGTGGTGGTGACCGTGCTCTTGTTGGGGACAGTCGCCCTTGTCATCGGACTCTCAGTGGGGCTGCCCATGAAATAGCTCCCAGGGAGGGGGGTCTGTAAGTGCTGGGAGGCAGGGGAGCCCCCTGTGGGGACACAGGGCCCCAAGGGCAGCAGGGACTGCTGGGGTGGTCCCACTGTCAGCTCCTGCTCGGGGGGCTCCGGTGCTTTGGGCTTTGGGGCTGTCACGGGGCTGGGGGTGGGCTCTGAGTGGTCTTGGGTCTGTGGTGCTCTGGGACTCTGCATTCCCTGGGAGTCTGCAGCACTTGGGGGTCTGCTGTGCTTGAGGTCTGTGGTGCTCGGGGGTCTTTGTTTCTTGGGGGCCTGAAGCGCTCAGGGGTCTTTGGAACTCGGCTGTCCTTGTTGCTGGGGGGGTCTGTGCCGTTTGGGGGGTCTGCAGCACTCAGGGGTCACTGTTGCTCGGCCCTGTGGGGCTGGGGGCTCTGGGGGTCGGCTCTGCGTTCCCCACATCCCTCCCTCTCTCCCCCCCCCCTCCCACCCACGGGTCGCTGCTGCACCCCCTCGTTCCCTTCCAGCCTCTCCATCTGGGAGCTGACACCCTGCCTCTCCCTCCTCCAGATGCTTCCAACCATCCCAGCGGTGTCATCTCCCACCTGGATCCTCCCCAGCACCAATCCCGCCCGCTTCCCTCCCTGCATTTCCCGGACCTGCTCCCTCACCCTCCGTGTCCTGTTTCCCACCACTGGCTCCAGCTCTCCATGGAGCATCCTGTCTCACTTCCTGCCGACCCCTGGGATCTTCCCCACAGGAAGGGGAGGGGACACCGCAGGGACGTGGCCGCTGGTGCCAGCGTGGGGTGACAAGGAGATGGATCCGAGGGCTGGATGCTTGTCCTGGTGGCACGAGGGATGGGAATAGGGACAGTGGCCGGCGCCCCAGCAATCGTGGATATTTACTTCCCTATTCCAATAAAATCCCAGCTGGTCCCTGCCCTGTACCTCCTCTCCCTGCTGTCACCCCACACAGCATGGCCCCAGGGGTGGATGGGGGTCTGGGGCTGTGACAGCCCTGTTTTTGTAGGAGATGAGAGGGGTTGTGGGGCTGGGGACACTCCAAACCCCCCGAAGCTCTGCCCAGAGTGTCCCCCCAGCCCACGTGTTTGGGTAAGTCAGTTTGGTCACCTGTGCCAGGGGTACACATCAGCACTGTCACCTCCCTGTGCTACATGCAAGTAGCTCACCCCTGCCCTGCCACCTCCCCTGTCCCCTCCCAGCCCGTGCTTGTTCTTTATCCCCCTCCCCAGCCCCATTCCTACTACCCGTCCCCTGCCCCCCTTCCCCAACTCTATCCCTTGTCCACAGCCCTATTCCTTATTCCTTATCCCCAGCCCCATCCTTGTCCCCTGTCCCTAACCCCATCCTTGTCTATTGACCCCCTTGCCTGGCTTGTCCTTGACCTGACCCCCTTCCCCATTCCCTGTCCCTTATCCCCCTGCCCATCCCTGTCCCCATCCCCTCCTGTGTTCCTGGCTCACATTCCCTGTCTCCCTGAGCAGAAGAAGATCATGATCATGTTGTGCTGCATCATCCTGGCCATCATCCTGGCTGCCAGCATCGGGAGCATCTTCGCCTGAGCCCCCCTCCTGCTGCCCTCCAGGTGACAGGGACAGCGGGTGGCACAGGGGGTTCCTGTCTTCGCCAATCCCAAGGGGGCTCCTTTGGGCCTCGGGGGGGGTTTGATCCAGGTGGGATTCACACCCTTGCGTGTAAGGGGGAATTGGGAGCCACGTCCCTTTCCTTGGCGTCACCTCTTGTCCCTGTCACAGGTGGCCTTTCCCTCTCCTGCCCCCCGCGTGGATGATCCATGGGAGAGACCCTGGCCTGCCAAGCCCCTGGTCCCTGGAGCCCGGAGGACACCCCGACACATCCCTGGAGGAATGGAGCCCCTCCTGCCGTGCTCCCCCAATTCCCAGCTCCTCATCCTGCTCTCCTCGGGTGATGGCCGGTGGCATGGAGTGGCCAGAGGGGCCGTGTCCCTCTCCGGGGGGGGACACGGGGCTCTGCCTTGCTGGGATGGCCGGAGGAGCCTCTTCCCTGCGCTCGGAGCTCCTTGGATGTGCAGCCACCCACGCCAGAGCCTTCCTCCTCAATAAAGAGCTCACCCACACTCTGCCTCGTGCCTCAAATCCCACTCCAGTTATGCCCCAGGATGCTCCCACCTCCATGTTTCCATCTCCAAAACCCGCTTGAGCACAAAGAGCCTCATGTCTCAAACCATGATCCATTTATTCCCTGGGATGCTCCCAACTCCCGGTTTCCAGCTCCATAACCCACCTCAGGGCAGAGCCCATCCATCCTTTGCCTTGTACCTCAAACCCTGATCCATGGATCCCCCAGGACGCTCCCAGCTCCACAGCCCGCTCCACATATCCCACTGGGATGCTCCCAGACCCAGGTTCCCACCTCCGAGTGTCCCTGCAGGTTCCGGTGCGTCGGTTCAATCCCGTGAGAATGCCGTCCGTGCCCCTCAGATCCGGTGCTTGAGGAAGAACTTGCCCCAGTAGCGGCCATGGAGCCGCAGGTCGTAGGGGCTCAGGTACTTCCTCATGCCCAGCATGTTGGCGGTGATGACACGCTCGAAAGTCCAGGGGTTCTGGTTGTTGAGCCTCTTCTCCTCCTCCTCCCGCCGCATCTCCTGGAGGCTCTCCCGGCTCACAGGCATGGCCGGGAAGGGCAGTTTTTGGGCCACCTGGGCGAGGAAGGGCTGCACCTGGTCGAAGTGGCAGCGGCCGCCCACCTCCACCACGAGCCTCCCGCTGCGCACGGCCGTCACGTAGCGGTCGATGGGGCCCTTGCCGCCCCCCATGCGGTGCCCCAGGCTCTTCCGCGTCACCGGCTTGGACGGGGCGGGGACGCGCCACACGGCGAACATGGACTTGGGGTCGATGTGGCGCCCGATGGTCAGCCGGATCATCTCCAGGTGGCCCCAGTGCAGGTACCCCCCGCCCAGAGCCTGGGGGGAACAGGGAGAGCCCGGGGTGGGAGGAATAACTCGGGATGACTAGGATAAGGGTCCCATGTCCTGCTCCAATCCCAGCCTCTGGAATTCCTCCCCCCCCGGATCCCTTCAGCACTAACCAGGATCCCGTACTGCCCCTGGATGAAGTCAGTGGCCTCCCGGGACGGCCCGCGGATGTCACGGAGCCTCCGCGGCTCCCGCCGGACCTTGGGCACCGCCGGCACCTTTTCCATGAACTTCAGCTTCGGCTTCTCCGGGAAGGTGATTCCTGCCGGGATAACGCGGCGGTGAGGATCCCCCCGGGGAGGCCGCGGGCTGACCCTCGCGCCTCCCATCGCCCCGTACTCACCGCTGTAATCTGGCGGCAGCACCAACTTCTTGAGCCCCGCGCGGGGCGCCGCGACTCCGCTGGGACCTGCGGGGCAGAGCGGGGGGAGCGGGTCACGGCGGGGCCCGGCGCTCATCACGGTGCCCCCAGCCTAACGGAGGGGGGGCCCGGTGTCACCCCCTCCACGCCCTGGCCACTCGAGCACCCCCCCCCCCCAGGCAGCCGGGGGTCCCCTGGGAACATGGCCTGGACCCCACCAGACCTGGCCCGGCCCGGAGCAGCGCCGGGAACCGCCATCGCCACATCGCCGGAAGTGCCCCACGGGCACCGCCACCGGTCAGCCCGCAAACCCGCCCCCAGCACCGCGGCTCGGCTGGGAAACGCGCCCGTGATATTAGTTCCGCGGCATCCCAGTTCCCGCCGCGCCTCCTGGGAAGGGGTCACCGACGTTGGGATTCCCCTCCGGCGGGTCCCGGAGTCCCTCAGTGGCCTCAGGAGGTGCTGGAAGTGGCTTTCAGTCTTTGTGCTGGACGACAAACTGGTTTTGTTGGGATAATAAAAGCCTGTACTGGTTTGACTGGGATAAGGTTCCATTTTTTTTCCCGGTAGCGAGGTTCAGATTCAGTAACTCAGGATGCAAATGCTGTGGACCACACTGGGATGGTTTGGTGGTTGCTGAGCCGGGCTTGCCCTCCTGAAGGACTCTGCAGTGTCCCATCGGACAATCCAAGTTTTCCACGATAATCCATGTTTTCCAGGAGGTGACACCATCATCCTCATCATCTCTGTGTCTTGCTTGGCTGAGAATCTTCCACCTTCTCTGCTCCACAGGGGCCTGCCCTGGGGTGACCTGGGGCTGTGATGTCACATGGGGCTGTGACATCACCGCACTGTCGCCGGGTGAGCCATCACACCCCAGAGCTCCCAGTGTGATCCCAACAGGATTGGGGGAGCCATGAGCCATGCCCTGCTGGGCTCCCGGAGCAGCCCAGTGGCTCCAGCAGCTCCCAGTTCCCCCACAGCTCCCACTTTTCCAGAGGCTCCCATGAGCTCCATCCCATGTGGATGTGGCCCCAGCTGCTCCCCCTGTGCCACAGCGGCCCAGGAGCTGCAGGATCTGCTGGTGTCTGTGTGTGCTGGGAATGGGAGGTCCTTCCCAAGGGTCTCCCTGGTGTGGCAGGTGCTGTGGGAGGACCTGGAGAAGCTGGTGGAGCAAGGACACCTCTACTGCTGCCTCGGTGATTCCTGCTGGATTCCAGATGGGAAAGAGCCCATGGACAGCTCTCCCTGCTCCCTGGGAGACGTGGGAATGAGCAGGGCCAGCTCATCCCTGAGGGTGCACGTGGCCAGGAAAAGCCTGGAAGTCAAAATGGGAGCCTGGCCCATCCCAGTAGTGCGCTCCCAGGAGCAGGTGGAACGGCAGGAAGGGTCATCCCAGCCTTCTGGGATCCTCCGTTCCTCTGGAAGCCTCACCTGTTCCCAGGAGCAGGTGGAACGGCAGGAAGGGTCACCCCAGCCCTCGGAGAGCCTCCATTCCTCTGGAAGCCTCACTCCTTCCGAAGGCCTCCCCCTCTCCAAGAGCCTCAGCGATTCCTGGCAGACTCCAGACGGAGAAGACTCCGTGGACAGCTCTCCCTGCTCCCTCGGAGCCGCGGGGATCAGCAGGACACGCTCGTCCCTGAGGATGCATGTAGCCAGGAAAAACCTGGAAGTCAAACTGGGAGCCCGGCCCACTCCAGTGAAGAGTTCCCAGGAGGAAGTGGCACAGCAGGAAGAGTCCTGGAGCCACCGGTGCCCAATCCAAGGATCCCAGGATGCTGCAGTGGTGCCAACTGGGAACACCCTAGGCTCAGTGTCAGAGAAGATCCTCCAGCAGCAAAGGGAGCTGGAATTCCCCCATCTCCAGGGAGCTTTCCCAAGCTGGCTGTCAAATTTCAGGCAGAAGTTTCTCTTGGCAGTTCAGATACTCCTGCAGATCCTCTGTTTGAAATAAATAAGGATTTTCACAAAAGAGCTGCATGAGGTTTATTGGGATAGGGTTCCTTCGTTTCCCAGTAGCTGGGTTTGGATTCAGGATGGGAATGCCGTGGTTTGGTTTCCCTCCTCAGGCACTTTGCAGTGTCCTATGGGACAATCCCTGCTTTCCACTGGAAAAGCCTCAAATCCTGACCCTGGACAGGGCTCGGTGGGTGCCAGGGAATGGGGGGAACAGAAACCAGTCACTGCCCTGGGAGCCCAACTGGGAGCTGCTGGGGAATCCAACTGAGAGCTGCTGGTTGGTTCCACCTTCTCCATTGCCCCCCAGGCAAGGACTAGGAGTGGGAGCAGGGACAGGGCTGGAATAGAGACAGGGATGGGGACCAGGAGTGGTGGAAGGAGCAGGGCTGGATTGAGGACAACTGCCCAAGCCCCTTGGTTTTCCCTGGAAGGAGGAGACCCTGGAAACGAGCCCCAGGTGTGTTCAGGGGCCGTGGGAATACCCAGCTTCCCACTGGAGACCTGTGGCCACCACCCCTTCCCCAGGGGTTAAAGTCACCAGTGTGAGTCATCCCTCCATCTCTGTTATCCCAATGGGTGCTCCCAGGGGAGGGTGGTTTGTCACGGCCTGGGCTCAGCATGGCCTGGGTAAGGGGCTGTTTGGGGGTCTGGGGAGGGGGACAGGGTGGGTCCCCCTGCCCTGGGCAGGGTGAGGAGAACTATGGCCTCAGTGCCTGCAACCGCATCCTAAAGGATCACTGTGGGCATTTGAGCTCCAGCTGAGCCTCAAACTCATCCTGCTGGATGCTGGGTTTCCCAAATTCCTGTCTCATTCCTCCTCCTGCTCACCTGCCAGTCTCTGTCACGTGTGGCCCCTTGTGGCTCTCGGTGATGGTCCCGGTCCATCTCCTGGGGGGCCATGTGGCTGGTGGGGAGCTGATCCTGGGCTCTGGATGTGGAGTGACCAGTGCTGACAGGGATGGATTCCATCTGGAGCACCCACTCCTAGGCTGTGGGACCACCCTGGAGGTGAGGAGCAGGAACACATGTCCCTGATGGAAACGGGAATGAGGTGGGAATGAGGGGACCCTGTCAGGGCCTGGGGCTGGGAAGGAAACCAGGTGGGACCAGCGTAGAGGGTCCCCCTGAACCCCCATCCTGGCCACTCTGAGAACACTGCTGGGTGAGGGCTCACCTGAAACCTGGCCTGGGCATTTCTGGGTGCCAGGGTGAGGGTGAAACCCCCAGCCCCAAATCCAGTCCCCCAAACCCCCTCCTTCCCACAGCTCCTCCCGGACAGAATCCACTACAGGAACATCCTCCACTACCACCCCTTGTCCATGGGGCTCGTGGCTCGTGCCAGACCCTTCTCCCTGCATGTGGAGTGTAACTACCCTAGGTGAGTGGGGAAAATCCCCCCAGGAGCCCAGGATTCCCCAGCGGATACTGCTGGGAGCCAGGGCTCCGAGTCCCACGTGAGTCCATTGCGGGATCCATCCACGAGGGATTTTGGAGGGAGGGTGTGGGGTTGTCTGTATCAGGATGGGGTGCAGGGGTGCACAGGATCCTCTGTGGCACAGGACAGGCAACATTTCATCCATGCCCATCCATCCCACCTAGATCCCCTTCAGCTCCACCGTGGCACACTGGAGGCGGCCGCGCTTCACCCTGGATGTGTTTGACAAGTGAGTGCAGGAGCCCTGGACCCCCCTCACCCTGCAGGGCAGGACCCCCTGTGACCCTCAGGGCACCACCCTCCAGGCTCCTGGCCCTCCCACCTATCCCACCTCTCCTATTCCCTGGGGGAGCTGATCAACGTGCAGGCGTCCCTGGGCACCAACCCCTGAGAGCCCCTGAGGGTGTTCGTGGACGAGTGTGTGGCCACTCCAGGCCATTCCAAACGGCCGGAATTCTGTGTCATTGCTGACAATGGGTGAGCTCCGCGGCTGGAATGGGGTGGGGGGACCGGTCCCCCTTCCTGGGATGCTCTGGGGGGGTTGGCAGTGCTCAGCTCGCCCTGTGTCCCACCTGGCAGGTGTCTCCTGGATGGGCAGCTCGGCCGCTCCCGCTTCCTCCCGTGGTGTGGAAACCACTCCCTCCGCTTCCAGCTGGACACCCTCCTCTTCCCAAACCTCTCTGGTAGCCAGGTCTGTGCCAGTGGCGGGGCTGGGGGCGCGGGGGAACCCCCTTCAGAGCCTGGTGGAGAATCCACGAGGATGTTTGCTCCGGCAGGTCTCCCTCCACTGCCACCTGCAGGCTGTGGCTCCAGGGGCTGGAAGTGCCTCTGGAAAGCCTCTTCCTACGACCGGGAGGCATCTGCCTGGCATTCCCTCGATGCTGGATTCACGGGATTGGATTGCTCGTGCTGCGGGTCCCCAGAAGGCTGTGGGGGGCAGCGTCGGCGGCGTCTGGCTAGTGGAGGTCAGATGAGACCCCACTGTTGGTGGGATCCCTGAGCCCTGCAGGGGTGATTCTGGTGCCTGATGGATCATTCCTCCTTGCAGGGCTCCTGGGAGAAGCTGGTGTCAACCTGGGGCTGCTCTCAGCTCGTCCCGCCCAGCCCCCCGGAGCCCACCCCGGCACCCCCTCACAGCCCCCCGGTGCCAGAGGGGGACCAGAGGGACTCAGGTGGGTGCGAGCCCCCCGTGGATCTGGGGGGGAGGGGGGGGGCTGGGTGGCTTCGCTGTCCCCTCACCGCCGCCTGTCCCCGCAGGGCTGGCTGTCCCCGGGTCCCTGGTGGCCTTGGTGGCCATGTGCTCCGTCCTGGTGGCCGTCGGCACCGCCGGCTGCTACTTCTCCGTGTGGAGGTGCCACACTGGGAACGGGGAGCGGGGCCTGGAGGGTCCTGGGATACCCCCTGGGCAGCCCCGGGAGGTGGCCATGGTGACCCCCTGGAACCCCCCTGCTCCTGCCGAGCCTCTCACTGCCTGAGCATCCTTGTTTTGGGAATAATAAACATGCGGCATTGTCTGAGGTGGCTGCGGATTCTGTGGACACCCCGGTGGGTGCTCAGGGGGCGGGGGTGGGGGCTGTAACACATCACCAGTGCCACTGTGGATCCCCAAAAAGTCCCACTGGGCTCCCTGGGGTGCTCTGGCAGGTGCTGGGAGCTGTGGGATAATCTGGGGAAAAGGGCAGGGTTGGGGTTGCTCACGGGCACCTCAGGTCTGAGATGGGGGGGATAGGAATATGGGCACTGCTCCCCAATTCCCAAAGTTGCTTGGCCACGGTGGGGCAGGTCCCTGGGCTTGGAAGGACATGGATCAGAGGGCCCTTGTGCCACTTTCTCACCTGGGGGACACGAGTTGTGCCTGTCACTATGGAGTCTTGGGTGCAGTGATTTTGGGATACAGGGCAGTATCTTGTACCCCCTTCATTCCCTGGGCATTAAGTCTTGGATTTGGGGTTTAATCCCGTCCCTGGGGCTCCTAACTCCTTCTCAGGGCTTGACACCCTAAAAAGGGGGGGAAGCCCCCTGGGGGCAAAGCCAGGGCAGGGGGCAGTGGCTGGGATGAGTGTGGGGGGGGTCCCATCTCCCCTTCCCTCCTGCTCCAGGGAGCAAATCCAAGGTGGATACTCCAGACCATCCCTGCCTGGGGAAGGGGTGCCAAGGAGATCCAGGGGAATCGTGCCTGGGCAGTGCCCCGTGTCCCCCGCAGCTCCCCCTTGTCCCACCCCTCCCCCTTCCCCCAACTCGCCCGCTCCGCCGGGAGAAGCTGCTGGAGCCTAATGGCCCTTGATGGATTTTTCTTCCAGGAATTCGCGGCGGGGCTGTTTTTATTTTCTCTCGTTTTATATTTTTTTCCCCTTTCTTTCTGAGCTCCTGTAAACAAGGCCTGGAGCTGGAAGGGGCGGGAGAGGTGGGGGGGCATAGAGTCAGGGGGGGTTTGAATGGGTTCTGTGCCCCCGGAACCCTCTTTTCCTTCTCTCCCTTGGGTTGGGAATGAGCATCTTTCCCTGGGGGGGCTGCGGTGCCCCGGATCTCTGCCCAGAATGGGGGGAGGGCAACAGTGGGCATGGCCCCACGGAGCATCTCCCGCCTGCCCCACGCCGCCGGGGGACCCCACAAAGCATCTCCCCTCATCCCACACAGCCGGGGTCTCCCACGGAACATCTTCCCTGCCCCGTGGAATATCTGCCCTGCCCAAAGGAACATCTCCCCCCACTCCACGCAGCCAGGATGCTTCACTTTCTGCCCCCACTTTTACGGGGTGATTTTGTGGGGGTAGCGGGGGGGTGTTTGGGTTGGGCGGTGCCCGGGGGGTGTGATGCAGCCGCTGACGTGACGGCACTCGGCCAATGGGCGGCGGGCGGGGCGGGGTGTGGCGGGTGGGGTGTGGCGGGGGCGGCCCCGGTGGGAGCGGGGCTGCTCCGGGGGGTCCCGGTGCCCCCCGATCTCTCCATGCAGGGCATGGGGAGCCTCCGGCTGGGCAACCGCGCCGTCATGTACACGGCGGAGACCCTCCCCAAGGGCAAGAACCGCGTCATGGGGGTGAGCTCGGGGGGGGCAGAGGGGGGCTTGGGATGGGGAACCCCTGGAAAACCTCCACTCACCTCGTTCCTGGCGGATTCCCATCCTTCCCGCTGATCCCTCAGGGGACGCTGTGGGAATCAAGGCGCCCGCACGGCCGGCGCGGCACTGGAGGCGGGGGGTGGGGTGGTGAGTTGACCTCATTCCCGCCCATCCCGGTCCTCCAGACCATCCAGATCATGACAGGATTCCTGCACATCGGCTTCGGGATCGTGCTGACCACGCTCACCAACCTCTACACCTCCGTGTTCGTCATCGGGGAGATCCCGTTCCTGGGCGGCGTGTCGGTGAGCGCAGGGAAGCGGGAAGAGAATCCTGCCGGGAAGGGATCCCGCAGGGCAGGGAAGGGATCCCTCAGGGGAGGGATACCCGCCGGGAAAGGATGCCCAGAGGGGAAGGAGTGCCCACCTTCCAGCAGGGGTAGGCTCTGGAAAAGTTTGCCCACTGAGGAATGATGCCCCCAGGGAAAGAATCCCATCAGGGAAGGGAACCCCAGCAGCGAGTGATGCCCACAGGGAATGGGAATCCTGCCAGACAGGGATACCTACCAGGAAAGATGCCCACCGGGAATGATGCCCACTAGGAAGGGAATTCCACCAGGGAAGGATGCGTACCAGGGAATGATGTCCACAAGGAAGAGAATCCTGCCAGGGAATGATGTCCACAAGGTAGGGAATCTTGCCAGGGAATGATGCCCGCAGGGATGGGAAGCCCACTGGGAAGGATGCCCACCAGGAGCAACGCCCAGCAGGGAAATGATGTCCAAAGGAACAGAATCCTGCCAGGGAATGATGCCTACCAGGAAGGGAATCCCACCAGAGAAGGATACTCCCTGGGAAGGAAGGATACCCACCAGGGAATGATGCCCACCTGGGGAGGGAATCCCACCAGGGAAGGGATGCCCAGCAGGAATGATCCCCCCGGGGCTCCCATGGCTCCCAGTGCTTGGGCACAGGAAATGCTGCTCCAACAGCTGTGCAGTGAGGGGGGTGTCACTGGGCAGGTCTGGGGGTGCCCCTGACCCCTCTTTCCCCCCCAGTTCATCATCTCTGGCTGCCTCTCCATCGGGGCCGAGAAGAGCCCCACGGAATGCGCGGTGAGTGCCACTGAGAGCAGCTCTGCTGGCAGGTCCCTCCTGGATTTTTTTGGGGGGGTCTCCTGCCCTCAGGGCCCCCCTAAGGCCTCCCCCTCCGAGGCCCCCTCCGAACTCCTGGTGCCCGCAGGTGAAGGGCAGCCAGACCATGAACATCATCAGCGCCATCTTCGCCCTGCTAGGGATCGTGGCCTTCATCGTCGACCTCAACCTCAACGTGCTCTACCACTCCAGCCTCGACTACCATGGTTACCTCGTCCTGGTAATCCCGCTTTCAGGAATTCTCGCCCTTAGGAGAACCCCCCCAGCCCGACCTCCACCCCTCAAAGGGGCGTTGTGGCCCCCCCCAGTCACTTCTGAGGTGGGGGTTCGGTGTCTCTGCCAGTTGACCTATTTCAGGTCGGTCCCTCGGGAGATGACTCACCCTTTGGAAGCATCCACGAGCCGGAAAAACGGCGGGATGGAGGGCTTGGAGTGCTCATGGAGCTGGGAGTGCAGTGGGAGAGGAGGGGGGAGCCCCAAAACACGATGTGGGGTGGGATTCCTCCTCCTGGGCACTTCCCAGGGAGGTGCTGATGGGGTTTTCCCCCACCTGGAGCTCGCAGGGAATGGGATTTCCATCGTGCTCCTCATCTTCACCATCCTGGAATTCTGCATTGCCGTGGCCACCGCCAACTTCTGGTGCCGGGCCACCCGGCTCAGCTCCAATGAGGTAAGGAATGGGATGGGGGGGAGGCTGGGATGGACCCCTCCGAGGCTCTTCCCTGTTATCCTGGCGTATCCCATGATCCTGGTTTCTCCCAGTCCATGCTGATCGTCCCCAGTGCCACCCGTGTGGACCTGGCCGTGCCGCCGGCGGAGCTGCCACAGCCACCCAGCTACACCGAGGTGATTCCCAATCCCAAGGAATAGTCAGAATAGGAGTGTAGTCGGGACTGGGATGCCCTTCCTGCCCCACCCGGAGCAGCATCCGATCCCTTCCTGTGTGACAGACCCCATCCTGCTGCCCTGGGAGAACATCCCATTCCCGGAGAGCATCCTGGAACATCCACCTCTCTGCTCCTGGAAGGGGAGAGGAGATCCCTAAATCCCACTGAGGGGTCACCCCAAGTCCTTCCCCCTTCCCAAAGCTTGCTCTCCTTCCAGCTGGCTGCTCCTGAAGTCTGACACCAGAATGGGATCCTGCCTCCATCACTCCCAAATCCAGGGCTACGGCATCGTCTTCCCGCTGGGATACGCTGGTCCCCCCTCTCCAAAAGCCAGCGAGCCCCCCCAAATTCCCACTTTCCTGCCCATCCATCTGCCCCTGTGCCTGGTCTGAGGGGCATTCCTTGCTGGCTGCTTTGGGAAGGGGCTTCTCCGTGCGGGACTCTTGGGGAATTCCTGCCTGTAAATCTCCAGTGGGATCCTGGGATTCACTTATGTCAGGATTCAGGACTTCCCGGGGGTCCGGTGGCTTGGAGTGATCCCGATGTGTGGATCCACCAGACCATCTACCTCGGCTTGTCTCGCGTTGGCTTGATTTTATCTTGGGAATAAATGCTCAGTCTGGGCTTGTGTCTCCTGAATTTGGGAATTTTCAGCGTGAGAGTTACAATTTCGCCCTCCCCCCTCAAGACCTGCTCTCTGTCAGGAAAAGGGCTCGTCCTGCCTGGTTTGCGGGTACCTGCTCTCTCTCAAAGGAATTCTGCTCCTCTTAGTCCCTGCTACCTGTTCTGCCTCCCAAGGGAATCCTACCCTGCTCCAAACGCCTGGCATTTGTTCTCTCCTGGTATTTGTTCCACCCTCTTAAACCCCTGGATCCTGCTCCCAAGGAATTTTTATCCCCATGAACCTCCAGTGCCTTCTCTCCTGAGGTAATTCCATCCCCCTTAACCTGTGGCACCTGTTCTCAAGGGATTCTTTCCCCCCTAAACCCCCTGTGTCTGCTCCAAAGGGAATTTTGTCCCCCTAAATCCCCAGTACCTGCTCTCCTGAGGGAATTCTGCCCCCAGACCCTCCCCCCCTACACTCGAGCTGTGCTATTTTTAGCCGGGCCAGAGCAGCCGGAGCGCTGGCGGCGATGCCGGTGACGCCAGCACATCCCGCCTTTTCTGCCACTGGAGAAGCTGCCCCCAGGGCTAGAGCTGCTCCTTGGGGTAACACAGGGACACTGGTGCCATGTGCTCCCTGTTCCCACAATTCCATGTGGTGGGAAGGGAGCGGAGGGGCTGCAATCCCTCCAAAATCCCTCATTTTTAGGGTCAGGAACAGGAGCCAAAGGGCTCTGGGATCATTTTGTCGGCTCCTGATGAGCTCGTTATGGATCCATCCCTAATTATCCCGCATCCATGGGGATGCTTGGGGACCTAACGAGCATTCCAGTGGCATCAAGTTATTTAAGGAGCATCCCAAACTCCTGGAAAGCAAGGATGGAGACCCCCGGGGCCGATTTTCCAAGGGGTGGGAGCATCCTGGCAACTTCTCTGTGCCCTGTGGGAGAGATCTCCTTACTTTTGGGGACAAGATCCATCCTGAATCTCCCCAGTGTGGAATCAGTGATGTCCTCCTTGAACATCCCCTTTGGTTTTTGTGTGTTTTCCTTGTTTTTCCCACCTCCCCGCTGCTCCGGCTGCTCAGCCAAAACCTCATGGATTATTCACTCCCTGTCAGTTATTTCTGGGCCCAGCTCTGAAAAAATAATGAGCCTGATCAGTAGGAAAAGCCCCAGGGATTTTGGGAATGGGATGAACAGGCTGTGTCTACTCACCCCGTGTCCGCAATCCATTAGGGCTTCAGAGCATCCTGGCCTCTCCCAGCTCCACAGAAACCACCAGGAGGCCATTCCAACCCTCAGCCAAGCTGCTGGATCCATCTATGTTTTCCCAGCGTGGCAGCTTCCCAGGAAAGAGGCTGGGAATCATCCTCATCCTCCACGGGATCAGAGTCAGTTTTCCCAGAGTATCCTGGTGTTTAGGTGCAGCTTTCCCTGAAAAAGCTGGAATAAGTGTTTAAGGTTCCATGGAAACGTGGGGGGTTTAATACATGTCTATTTTTAGGTGGGAATTTGCAGCCCTGGGGGGCAGTGGGCAGTTTTCCTCATGGACTTGATCCCGAGCTTCACGTCCCTCATGGTGATGCTGCCACCCCCTGCTCTGTATCCTCATGAACATGCAAAAGTGGGATAATAAAGGGATAATAAAGGCTGAGAGCTGCTCCCAGACTGCATCCATGGCCTTTCCACCAGGAAAGGCAAAACTCCATGAAGGAGCCGGGGAGCAGCCGCGAGACTGGGCTGCAGGGTCCCAATTGCTCTGTCTTCCCTGGAAAAGGGAAGGATCCAGGGAGACCTTGGAGCACTTTCCCGTGCCTGAAGGAGCTCCAAGAGAGCTGGAGAGGGACTTTGGAAAATGGATGGAGTGACAGGACATTGGGAATGGCTTCCCACTGCCAGAGAGTGGGAATATGGGGAAGGAATTCTTCCCTGTGAGGGCAGTGAGGCCCTGGAATGGATTTCCCAGGGAAGCTGTGGCTGCCCCATCCCTGAAGTGTCCAAGGCCAGGTTGGAGCAACCTGGGATAGTGGAAGGTGTCAGGGTAGGAATGAGATGGGATTTAAGGTCCCTTCCCACCCAAACCATTCCAGGATTGTCAGTAGGAGTTGGTGCCAGCAAAACCCTGGAGACGTGCCCGGAGTTTTACCGGATCAAAGGCTGGAATGTCACGTGAGGGGGTGACAGACACATCTGGGACAGGGTTTGGGAGCGATGCTACCGTGTCCCAAATGCCAGGGTATGGATCACCCCAACCTCCCACCCGCTCCCAGCTCCGGATTCCCTAATGCGGGATGGACACAGCCGTGTTCAACACCCTCGGAGGGGGCTCCTCTGGGGAATTCTGGAAACACGGAGTGGGGACAACACAGGTGACATTCCTGGGATGACATACCTGGTGTGCTCGCAGTGGCATCGGTACTGTGATTCCCGGGAATGTCACATGGACAAAAGCCAAAAAATCCTATGATTCATTCCAGAAAACATGACTTTCCTTCCAGAGTCACTATGGAAACACCTGGAAGCAAAGCAAAATGTTGACTTGTGGTATTTTTATGGGGATATAAAATTTGTCCCAGGAAGCAGCAACCTTCTCTGGAAGGAATTTCTCCATCACAATCTATTTTCTTTGGAAAAAAACAAAGCATGGAATTTTGGGCTGGAAAAGGGATTTTGGTTCCACCAGGCTTGTAAATTTATCCTGGTGGGAAGGGACTTGGAGGGGGTGGGTCTCGCTGATCCCTCCTGAGTCTGAGCATCCAGCCAGGCTTCCCCCATCCGTAATTTCCCCTGAAAAATGGGAAAACAAACATTAAAATCCGAGGAATGCACTGCATATATCCACAAGGCTCGAAATTCCTGCAAACAAAGGTCTGGAAAACTCCACTGCTTCCCTTCATCTATTTCAAAGCTCCACCTCCTCTGGAATCTGCTTCCAGGATAAATCCTGACATCCTTCCTAGGGCTCCAGGCTGGACCTAGGTTTACCTTGGAACGGGGAAGGCACTTTTTCCATGGATAACTTGCTTGGAAAGGGGCTGTTCTGGAGGCCGAGGGCAGTTTCTGGCCGAAAGGTTGGAATTCCAGGAATGCTGTAGGATTTGGAAGGAAATCCACCATGTAGGGTGGTTTTGGCTGGGAATTTGAGCCCTGGATACGCTGGAGGATAAAGAGGGGATCCCAGAATTTCCATGGGGGCTCAAGTGTTCCTGGAACGAAGTCCATGGGATTGTTAGGATTGGGGTGTTGAGAGGGAGAGGGAGTAGCAGGAATTAAAGGTTCTGAGGCAACAGGAATGCGTTGGAGGGGTTGAACCTCATCCATATCCATGTTTTTCCTGGAAAGCTGTGCTGCCAGATGCAGCCCTTTACAAGGCCAAGTGCTTCCATCAGGGAGGTGGGATGGAAGAAGATCACGGATGGAATGGAGACACGACTCACTTGCTGCTTTTTGCTTTCCAGGTCTGTCACTCCAACTCTTTTCTGGGATCTGATTTAGGCTGGGTTTGGGGTTGTATGGCATTCACTGAATCCTGGAATGGTTTAGATTGGGAGGGACCTTAAGGATCATCCAGTTCCAAGCCCCTGCTGTGGAAAGGGACACCTTCCATTGGATCAGGTTGCTCCAAGCCCTGTCCAACCTGGCTCCAGGTTTGGAAACCTCTCCCGAGCTCTGGAATGCTGTGCTTCCAAACCCAGCCTCTCAGCTCCCTCTAGGGCCAAAAGGAAGGAAAAATCACTTCCAAAAGTTGCTCCATCTGCTCCTAAAATCCTCAGCTGGAGGGTCCTGCCCCTTCCCAGGTGGTGGGAAACCGAGCTCGGAGATGCTGGAATCCTGGAGCTAAAAATTCTTGTTCCATCAAGAAATTCCTGCCCTGCACCCACTGAACACCCAGGAAACCTGGGGAGGATCCCAATCCTCCTGGAAAATAGGACATGGCTGTTTTCTGGGAAGAAGGGCCTCCAAATCCCTCAGAATCCCCTCTCCATGTGCAGCGGTTTCATTCCCAGCTTTAGCTCCCATTTCCCATCTCCAGAGCTCCTTCCCGGAGCTAGCTGGGAACCCCTCGGATCCCTCCCCGGTGTGCCCTTGTTGGGAACAAATCCACAGGGATGCAGGAAGGAGACCCCCCCCAAAATGGCAATAAAGGACCTTCCTGGGGACCTAATGGGGTTTACAAAGTTCCCTGGTTCAATCCACGTTTTTCCTGGGAAATGGGCAAGACTGGCTAGCTCATTAGTGGCCCTAATCAGCATCTCATTAGGAGCCAGGCTAATTGCAGAGATGATTCCCGAAAAAAGCATCCACAATTTGGGATGGAAAGGACTCGTTCAGTGCCTGGAAAGGGGGGCTCCTCTGGGAGCATCCCATGGGATAAACACCTAACCCTTCCCTAAGCTACAAAAAAATCAACCCACCTTCCCAAACTCCCTCTCCCTGCACGGGATTTTGGGAGCCTCCATTGGCAAAGCTGCCTCGTTGAGCAAGAGGGGCCTGACGAGAGAATTCCAGGACGGAGCTTCCCGCAGGGAGCAAAGGGCAGCGGGAGCGCAGCCCTGCCTGTCCAGCACCTGCTGGGGATTTTGGGACATCATAGGGAGGAGGAGCAGGGGAAAGAGAATCCCAGGGTGCTCCTTGAGCTTTCCGGGCTCGTCCCCAGGCCATGGCGGCCACCACAGTGACGGAGTCTGGCGGCGTGAGGATCATCACAGAGGTGATCCCGGCCACGGATCCCCGGGCGGCACAGCTGGCATTGGGATCTGGGTCAGCTGCGTCTGCCGGGACGTCGTTGCAAGTCCAAGGCTTCCGGAGGGCTCACCCCAAGGTGTTGGGGGTGAGACATAGCGTTCCCGGAGGGAATAAAGTGGGGATCGGGGATCCACAGGGAGTGTCCTGCTGGAGGTGCCTCGCCTGTCCCCAGTCCCTTCCCGGGCTGGGATGCAGCTCAAAACAATGGGATTGGGATCCCTCTCCCCCTATCCTTCCCCAGACCATCCACATCTTCACTGGGATCATCCACATCTTATTCGGGATCATCCTGACGGCATCGGAGCATGAAAACCCTTCTCTCCCTGTGGCCAGTGGGATCCTCTTCTGGCTTGGGATCCTGGTAAGCTGGGATGAACATGTGGGAATCCTGGGGAATCCCGGAGCTTTGGGGGCAATAGTCCCTGGTCTCCAGGTCTCCTCTGACCCCTTCCACCTGTGCTTGTGCATCCCTGAACCCCAATTCCCACCAGAAAGGGTGACAGGGAGTGGTGCCTTGTTACTGACTCCCCCATTCCCGGTGTTTTCTGAGCAGCTCCTGGTCTCGGGATCTTTGCTGGTGGAAAGCGAAAAGAGAGACAACATTGTGCTGGTAAGATCTAAGCAGGGAGGGATAATGTGTCCCCCCTTGTTCCTTATGTCCCTTGCAGTGGCTGCTGGGATCCCTCTGCAGCCTGGATTCATCCCATGGGATCCACATCCAGGGAAATGTCCAGTGCTTCTTACCTGGAGCACAGGGTGGGGTTCAGGGCCTTCAGGAGACTCTGGGGGCCTTCTGGAGTCACTGTGGGGTGAGAGAGAAAACAGGTCCCAGAGACCCTCAAGGCCCTTTGGAGTCACTGTGGGATTAGAGGGACTAAAGATCTAAGAGACCTTCTGGGCCTTTTGGAGTCACTGGGGGATGAGGGGGGAAAAACAGATCCAGAACACCTTGGAGGGGGATGGAAGGTCCGGGGACCCTCAGGGTCTTTTGGAACCGCTCTGGGATTACAGGGGCAAAAGTTCCAGGAGATCCCCTCGTCCCTCTTCCCGGGGCTTCGTGTCCCCCCTGGGTGACCCCACAGGTGCGCACCTGCTGCGTGGTCAACGTGGGCGTCGTCCTCGGGGCGCTGGTGGCCACCGCGGTCCACGGCGCGGCCATCACGCGGCTTCCGCCCGGCTGCGAGCGCCGCGTGCCCCTGCAGATCCCCCCGGAGTGGTGCCTCAACGCCAGCGGCAAGGTACACACACTGGGCCAGGGGGGTGCTCAGGGCTCCTGGTCCCACTCAGGACCAGAACACCCTGCACCCAGCTGGGCGGTGGATCCCGGGGCTGCTTCAGGGCCTTCCCACTCTCCCCATCATCCTGGCAGATCCTGAGCAATGGGCTGGATTCCACCTTCGTGCTCCTCAGCCTCCTGGAATTCTGCGTGGCCGTGGCGGCCCTGGCGTTCGGATACGAGGCCGTCCGGCAGCACAGCTACACCCACATGGTGAGGGGGGCATCGGGATGCACCCCCAGAGTCCTTGGGAATCCCTGGGAATCCCTGGAATGCTGGCTCCACCTCTTCCTTGGGTCATCTTGGAGACGTCTCCGTGCTCCCAAAAACTGGATTTCCATGTTTTTCCTTTCCCAGGCTCTGTAGCAACGGACAACCTCCCCCCCCCACCACCCTCCCAGGACCACCGGGCCCCCCACGGAGGTGCCGCATCCCGGAGGGGGGTCACCGGTACCGGAGCCTCGGAGCCCCCCATGCCCGCCCCAGTGCCCCCAATAAAGGTCTCTCCCCTCATTCCAGCCCATGTGTGTCTCCGGGGGTCGCTCGGGGTGCGGGTGGGGGATCTCGCCCCGGGTGGGTGTTTGGGGGGTCCGAGGGTCCCCCCGGTGATGGGCAGCGCTGCCCGACACAAACATGGCGGCCGCCCCCCATGGCGGCCGGGCAGCCCCGGCGGCTTCGCTCTTGTGCCCTGGGCATGCTCTGATGTCATCTCCCCGCGACATCGCGGGCACGCGGACTATGGAGGAGGAGAGCGGCGGGAGCCCGGAATTGGGATTGACACCCGAGGGGCCCAGCGGGGCCGGCCCGGCCGCGGGCCCGGCGCGACGGCGGCGGCGGAAAGGCGCCAAGAAGCGGCAGGGAGCGGTGGCGGCCATTCCGCGGGGCAGGCCGAAGTCGGGGAGGGTGTGGAAAGACCCCGGGAAGAAAAGGTGGGAGCGGGGAGAGGGGGGGCAGGAATTCGGAGAAGGGGCATTTGGGGGGCTCTAGGGTCTCCCAGGGCTGTTGGTGGGGGGGATTGAGCTGGGGAGGGGACGCTGGGGCGTCTCACAGGGGGCAGGATTTGGGGGGGTTACTCGTGGGGCCGTGCGGGGACTCCGGAGTTATCCATAGGTATCCACAGGCTTAGGAAGAATCCAGAGGGGACAGGGACACTTTGGGGTGGTCCTGAGCGGAGAGGTGGGTTTGGAGGGGATGCTGAGGGGGTTTTCATGGAATTCTGACCCGAGGAGTTTCTGGAGAGGACCCACAGCCACATCCCGGGGTTTCTGGGGATCCAGCACATCTCGTGTGCCCGCCCAGGTTCTCCCACATGATCCAGGACAAGGCTCTCCGCACCTCCTGGGCCCGGAAAATAAAGGAGAGGGAGGAAAAGAAGCTGGTCCGGGATTTGGCGCGGCAGCTGGAGGAAGGGAAACGGAGGGAGCAAGAGGTAAGGGGAGCTGGGAATTCCCGCTTTCCCACGCACAATCCCACGTCTCTGCCCTCATCTCGGGCTTTGGGGCTGTGGTTGATCCCAGTGCTGTGCCAAACCCCGGGAAAAAAGCTGAGATGGTGAAGTCCCTGCGCTGGTGCCAAATCCAGTCATGTGCTGCTACTCACTGACTCGAAATAAACTCCCCCCCCCCGGTCAGTCCAAGCCTCATCCGGGCTGGAAAAGCTGCTGGAGTGACAGATTTCACGCTCGGGCAGGTGTCAGAGCTGGTTTGGGATTAATGCCGGCGGGAGAGATCCCACAGGGAATGTTTTGGTGCAGGAAAAGAAGCGGCGGCGGGAGGAGAACCTGAAGCGGCGTCTGGAAAACGAAAGGAAAGCCGAGATTGTCCAAGTGGTGAGTCCCAGTTTGTCCCCTTTCCTGGGTGGGAACAGCACTGGGAATATCCTACAACAACATCCCACAACACCCAGGCTCCATGGAAGGGGCTCCAGTTCCTCTCTCTGGCTCTGTCTTTAAGGGATACTGGGAGCACTGGGAAGGTGTTCCCTGTGCCAAGGAGGGTGGGATGGGATGGGACAGCTGCTCTTCCAAGCTTGAGAATACCAGAACTAAGGGATAACAGGCATATGGGGTGGTGGAACAATGAAAACATGGCACTGATTTGGATCCATGTGGGGAAAATCCCAGGAAGAGACCCAGGAAATCGGGATGGGTATGAAAGTGTCCGAGACCACGTTGGACAAGGCTTTGAGCAACCTGGGCTAGAGGATCCTTAAGGATCATCCTTAAGGTCCATTCCAACGGAGTCCACTCCAGGATTCCATGAAATCCCCCCCTTTTCCCCGTTTTCCAGATCCGGAACCCCCTGAAGCTCAAGAGGGCCAAGAAGAAGCAGCTCCGGCGGGTGGAAAAGCGGGACACACTGGCCCTGCTCCAGAAAACCCCTGTCAGGCGCAGCACAGCCATGGAATGAGGCGGGAATCGGGATCCTGCCACAGCTGGGATGTGCGGCTGGGATTCCTATGGATCCCGCTCCCTTCTCCAGGGATGTTTTCCCTGGCTTGGAGGGCAGGAATTGATGCTGGGACCCTCAGTGTTGGACAGACAACAGGACAGATGACCCGCTGGAACCTGCTGGATCCCCATCCCTGTGGAATTGGGATGTTGCTGGAACAAAACTTTGTTTTCCCAAATTTGCCTTTTCCCTATAAAAATGATCAGCAACTGAGACAGATTTGTCTCCAGTGGCTCCACCTGGGACCTTCCCTAAGGCATTCCTAGGATTGGAGTGTTTCGTGGCCCCTCATTCCCTGAGGCTCCCCCTTCCCAAAGAGCAAATTCCTGCTGGGAATAAGCCTCAGAGCCAATCCCCAAGGAAAGGGACACATCCTTTAAGAGATGGGAAGGGGACGCACCTTCCTGACACCCTTTTAGGGGAGGCAACACTGGGAATTTGGGGGGGATTGGAAGGGCTGGGAATCTGGGGGTGGCGGGGGGGATGGAAGGAAGAGGCTCAGGGTAGGAAATCCGTGTGGATTTCTTCACATTCCTGGTTTTTCTTGCTTCAGGAACACCCTTTTTTCATTCATGGGGAGAAATGGGATAAAGAGACCCTGGGGAGGGTGGGACAAGATGGGCACTGGGGTGGAAAACAGCACTACAGGAAGCAGCAGGAAGCCCTGGGATGGGTGGGAATGGGGTTCCCAGTGGGAGCTGGCCCTGAGCCCCCCCCAGACAGAACCCCCTGGAATGGGATAAGGGGGGTCCCACCCGTGTCCAGATCAAGGGCTGCCACAGGGAAAGGGAGGGAAGCTGGCGAGAGCTGTGGGGTGTGGCAGTTGCCAGCCTGGCACGGGGTCACGGGCAGCCCTCTGCCCTCCTGCTTCCCGGGTTAATGATTTCCAAGGAATACTCAATCCCGGCCTCTCCCTCTCCAGAGCCCACAGAGCCTTTGCCCAGCGGGGTAAGAGAGGGGGGGAATTGGGAGCCCGTTCCAGTGGCCTCGGGGCTTGAAGGGGCTGATTTCCTGGTGGGGTGGACCTGGGAGAACGCGGTGTCTCCTCCCAGGGCGGGACTGGGGCCAAACCCCTTTGTTCCGCATTCCCGGAGAGGCAACAGGGAGCATTCGGGATTGGGGGGCTCGGGGCCGTTGGAGCCCCGCCCTGCTCCGGCCCCCGGGGGGCACGGAGGAGGAGGAGGGGGAGAGGGGACGGTGGGTGTTGGGAATGCCGGGGCTGGGAGACATGGAAAAGGGGTGGTGCTGCTGCCGGGCAAGTTTTGGGGGCGCTGGAGGGGGGGCTTGGGGCCAGGGGGTGGGGATAAGGGAAGGAAGGATCGGTGAAGGAGGGACGAGAACTAGGGAAGTAGGAGATGGGGACATGGAAGGGGGGGACAGGGACCAGGGAAGAAGAGATGAGAATGAAGGAGGGGACAGGAAGGAGGAGACAGGGACTAGGGAAGGAGGGATGGGGATTAGGGGAGGAGGGGATTGGATCCAGGGAGGGAGAGATAAGAACAGGGAAGGAGGGGATGAGATCCAGGGAGGGAGAGATAAGGACAAGGAAGGAGGTGCCATGGATCAGAGAAGGAGGGGATGGGTTCCAGGGAGGAAGGGGTAAGGACGGGGAAGAAGAGATGAGGACAGGGATCAGGGAAGGAGGGACGAGGATCAGGAAGGAGGGAGGGATGAGGACAAGGAAGAAGGGAATGGCATCCAGGGAGGGAGAGATAAGGACAGGGAAGGAGGGGATGGGATCCAGGGAGGGAGGGATGGGGACAGAGAAGCAGGGATGCCAGCAGGACTATCCGGACCACAAATCTACCTCGCCATGTCATCCCGTTATCTCTCCTGAGAGGATCCCTGGGACGCTCCCTGCTGCCAGCCCCCTGCCTGGCACTGCAATCCCTTGAGACGCTCAGGACGATCCCTTTTCCAGGTGCACCATGGTGGAGGTGACAGTGACACCGCGGTCCTCGCTGGCTGACCGGCCGGTGCAGGTCCGGGTGCGGGGACTGTCCCCATCCCAACTCATCACCCTCCGCGCTTGGCTGAAGGACGAGCACGGCGATTGCTTCCAGTCCCGCGCCTTCTTCCGTGCTGATGGATCGGGAGAGGTGGATCCCGGGAGCCACGCCGCGCTGGGAGGCAGCTACTCCGGCGTGTGGCCCATGGGGCTCTTCTGGTTCCTGCAGCCCGACACGCTTTTCCGCCGGCTGGTGAAGCGGGATGTGGCCGGGAGCCCCTTCCTGGTGCGGCTGGAAGTGTTCGATGGGCTCCGGCTGGGCACAGAGCCGCAGGAGCAGCCGCTGGGATGGTGCGAGGCCGAGCGGTGGTACGTGGGGCCTGGAGTGCAGCGGGTGCCCGTCCGTGAGGGAAGGGTCCGAGGGGCCCTGTTCCTACCTCCTGGTGAGCACTGCGGAGCGGGAATCCTGGGATGCACAGCCTCGGGACCCCTGGGATAACGAACAGCAGGACTCCCAGATGCTCGGACTCTGGAGCCTTGGGATGACCAGCCCTGGGATGCCCAGTCTTGGGATCCCTGGGATATCAAACATCAGGACCCCCACTTGCCCAGCCTTGGGAACCCCGGGATACTGAACCTTGGGATCCCTGGGATAACAAACATCAAGACCCCCAGGATGCCAAACCTCGAGACCTCTGGGATATGAAACCTTGGGATGCCCAGCCCTGGGACTCCTGGGATATCAAACAGGATGCCTATTCTCAGGACCTGTGGGATGCCAAAACCTTGGGATCCCTGGGTTGCCAAACCTCAGGAACCTCGGGATGTCCAGTCTTGGCACCCCTGGGATAGCAAACATTAGGACTCCCAGGATGCCCAACCTTGTTATCCCTGGGATAACAAACATCAGGACCCAGCCTTGGGAATCACAGACATGATACCCAGATTGTGACCCCCCAGGATACTGAACCTCAAGACCCCCCAGGGATACCCAACTTGCACCCTAGGATTGTCCAACCTTGTAATCCCGAGGATGCAGGATGCAGGTGGCTCCTCATCCCTGACATTCTCTGTCTTCCTGCAGGTCCAGGCCCCTTCCCGGGGGTGATTGACATGTTCGGAGGTGCAGGGGGGCTGATCGAATTCCGGGCGGGACTCCTGGCCAGCCGGGGCTTTGCCGTGCTGGCCCTTGCCTTCTTCGCCTACGACGACCTGCCCCGAGTCCTGGCCCAGCTCGACCTGGAATACTTTGAGGAGGCAGCGGATTTCCTCCTCCAGCATCCCAAGGTGAGTTCTGGAGTGTGGAGAGGAGCATCTGTGAGCTGGGATGTCCTGGGGACAGGGGCAGCCTGGTGAGTGGGATGGCCACGCTACCAGGGATGTCCCTGTGATGACCAGGAATTGTCCTGAACACCAGGAACGTCTCAGGGGCTGGTGGCATCCTATGTGACCAGGGCCATCCTAGTGATCTCCCAGGAATGTCCCAGCAACCAGGAATGTCCCAGTAATGCCCCAGGGTTGTTCTGAGAACTGGGAATATCCCAGGGACCAGGGGCATCCAGTGAGCAGGATGTCCGGGGGACCAGGGACATCCCATGAAGACATCCTTGTCCCGCTGCCCAGGGGGTGTCCCAGAGGTATCCTGGCAAGCAAGGAACATCCTGGTGATCAGCAATGTCCCAATGAGGGTGTTCTCCCCAGGACTGGGAATGCCCTGGTGCCATCCCATCAACCTCCCAGCCAGCTCCGTATGCCCCCTCTCCAGGTGCGAGGCCCCGGCCTGGGCGTGGTGGGTGTCTCCAAAGGCGCGGAGGTGGCCCTGGCCATGGCCAGCTTCCTGCCGCAGGTGGTGGCCACGGTGTGGATCAACGGCACGGCCTTTCTCCACGGCAACCCCCTGGTCTACAAGGACCTGCACATCCCGCCCATCCCTTACCGCTTGGAGCGCGTCCTCCTCACTGAGGTGGGAGCCATGGACAACTCGGCCGTCTTCGCTGACCCCCGGGACCCCGCCTACCGCGCCTCGGCCATCCCGGTGGAGAAGATCCGTGGGAAGGTGCTGTTCGTGGTGGGAGAGGCCGACCGGAGCTTCAACAGCAAGCTCTTCGCCCAGCTGGCCCTGGAGCGGATGCCTCCAGAGAGTGGGCGGCTCCTGTCGTATCCTGGTGCTGGGCACCTCATCGAGCCCCCCGGCTCTCCCCTGTGCAGCATCTCCAGCATCCGTGGCACCCCCCGGCCCGTGGCCTGGGGGGGGGAGCCCCAGCCCCATGCCCGTGCCCAGGAACATTCCTGGCACGAGATTGTCCAGTTCCTGGAGCAGCAGCTGGGCCCGGCTGCCGCCATGAAGCTGTGAGGGAGTGGGAAAGGGGGTTGGGAATACCGGGATTGGTGCCAAGGGGAATAAAGTGGCACCCCTTGGATCCTGGTTGTGCTTCTGAGGAAGCTGTGTGGGACATACATAGCATACATATGGACTTATATTGGACGTGTATATGGGACATCTAGAGGGCATCTTTAGGGCATATCTAGGACATGTATATAGGACAGATGGACAGTTATATAGGATATATATGGGACACATAAAGGACACACATATAGGATATCTATAGGGCATATATCAAACATTGGACATATATATATAGGACATCTATAGGAGATATATCAGACATAGGTCCGACCTATACTGGACATATATAGGACATCTATCTCACATATATATATATATATATATATATATATATATACATATATATAAAAGAAATATAGGACACATATCAGACACATCTAGAACATATATCAGCCATACATATCTGCCATCGCTTCCTGATGAGGTTTTAGAGGATCACATCCAGCCCCCCAGTCCCACACACCTTCCCACCAGGATCCCAGTGCTGCTGGGAGCTGGCACGGCCCCATTCCCACCCCAGGGCAGAGAACAGGGAATGGCTGTGCCTGTCACTCTGGGAGAGACCGGAGGGTGACTTAGTTTAATCCACAGTAAAGATAAATCCCAGAAGGGAAACTTCTGGAAAGGGAGGCAGAGGGAACGCACAAAGTGCTCCATGGAGGACTTTGCATTCCCTGGGGGCACTGCTGGTGGCAGTGATTTGGAGACAAATTCCCAGTCCTAGTTCCCCAGACCTACTGGGACTGTGCCACTGTGCCCCGCAGTCCCCCTGCAGGGTCCCAGTCCCACAGGAAAGGCATGTCCAGATGTTACCTGTGGCAAGCAGGAATTGGGGCACACGCCACCCTTTCTTCCCTCCTGGATCCAGCTGGGCATCCTGTTCACTGGGAGTTTTCCAAGCGTGGGATAAGCTCTGTTTGTCCCAGGTCACCGTGACACAGCCACGGGAGGTGATCCCAGGGCCAGGGCACTGAGGTTGCCGTTGGCACGGAAGCGAGGAGCCCGGGGCAGAGCTCATCCCGCCTGCTCAGCTGATTCCCCCCGCATCCCAGCCCTCCGGATATAAATCCGTGTGGGACAGCCCCGTGTGCCACCTGGCTCATACCACCATGGGACGGAGCTTCTCCTTCCTCCTGCTCCTCTTCCTCCTGGCCCCGTGGCCCAGGGCCAGCGTGTCCTTCCTGCGGCACCGCTACACCTGTGGAGAGTTGGGAATGCAACTCCTGGTATTCCCGTCCCACGGCCGCTCCGTCCGCTTCAAGGTCCTGGGTGAGTGTGGGAAGAATCCCCGGATCCCCTTGGGGTGCTGGATCCCTGAAACCTCAGTTTTTCCATGGGATAACACCAATGGCTTGAACGAGGTGTTGGTGCTGCCGCGGGGGTTTCTGTGCACCCACCACCCTAGGGAGCATCCCGGCATCCAGATGTGTCACTTCCCTGTGTCCATGGTGTCCCACCAGATGAGTTTGGGACCCACTTTGATGTGGCAAACTGCTCCATCTGCCTCCACCGGCTCAACTCTGGGGAGGATGGATCCGTCATCTTCTCCTCTGGATACAAGGGCTGCCATGTCCTGCTCCAGGTGACATTCCTACCCCTTTCCCTGCCCCTTTTCCATTGGATGGAGGTCACTATCCCTCATATCCCACTGCAGGAGAACCGATACATCCTGAGGGTGCAGCTGGAGGAGCTGCTTCCCAGTGGGTTCCTGGTCACCTCCTCCGAGGTCAACATGACCTGCCCAAAGCCGGGTGGCTCCGACACACGCCCGGATGGCAGCCCGGAGCGGGGCCAGGATAACGGAATCCTGGTCTCCCATGCTGGTCTCCAGCACCACGTCTCCCCGTCCTCCCTCACCCTGGCAGGATCCCAGCTCTCATCCCACACCCACTCAGAGCAGGTTCATGCTGTGGCACGGAATGAGCCCAGCTTGGTGCTTCCCAGGATTTCGCCCCACTCCAACCCAGTTCACCCAGGGCTTCCATCCGAGTCTAATGGGATTCGTCCTGTCTCCAATACCCAGGGGGGCTTCAACCGCCCGGGAGTGCAGCCCTCCCACCTTGGGGGTCAGACCCAGCCAGGCCTTGCATCCCAAAATTCTCCCCGTATGAGGCATCCTGGGGGTCAAACTTGGCCAGGCCTTCGCCCGCAGTTTGTATCCCAAAACCCTCCCAGTTTGGTGAATTCTGGGAGTCAGACCCAGCCAGGGCACTTTCGCCCAGGGTTTGTACTCCCAAACCATCCCATTTCAGTGAATCCCGGGAGTCAGACTCAACCAGGGCTTCGCCCAGGGGTTGTATTCCCAGACCATCCCAGTTCACTGAATCCCGAGGGTCAAAACCAACCAGAACTTCGTCCAGGCCCTGTGTCCCAAAATTCTCCCCGTCCTGTGCACTTCGAGAGTCAAACCCAGCCAGGGCCTCGTCCAGGGCCGAGGCCAAATCCTCTCAGTCCGGTGTATGTTGGGAGTCAGATCCAGCCAGGGCTTCGTCCAGGGCCTGTATCCCAAAATCCTCCCAGTCCAGTGCATTCTGGGACTCAAAATCCACCAGGGCTTCGTCCAGGGTTTGTATTCCAAAACCCTCCCAGTCCAGTGTATGCCGGGAGTCAGACCCAGCCAGGGCATCGTTCAGGGTCTGCATCCCAAAACTCACCTGTTTTGGCTGCTGCTGGTGCTCACCCTCCAGCAGGATTCCTGCGCCCAGGATCTCAGCTCCCCAACCAGCCAGGAATAGCTCAGCCCAGTTTTCCCTCCAGCTCACAAACTGGGCTCCCAAGCTACACTGGGCTGGTCCATCCTGGCCATCCCAGTCCGCCTTTAGTGAACCCGCGACTCTCAGCCTGGCCGGGTTTGATCAGCCCCGGACTCCAGCCTGGATTGCTGCATCCTGGGATCCACACTCCGCCCAGCCTGCTCCAGCCCACGGCACTCTTCTACCCTTCAGGAGGGGCAGGTATAGTGGAAAAGCGGGATGAAGGGATGCAGCCCCGGATCTGAGGGCTGGATAAGGGGCTGGGATAAGAGGAACTGGCATCAAGTTGTGCTGGGGCAGGTTTGGGTTGGATATCAGGGAAAATTCTACATGGAAAGGGCTGTGCAGCCCTGGACACCGTATCTAGAAGCATCCTACCAAAAACACGTGGCTGTAGCACTTGGGGACGTGGTGGCCTCTCAGCATTTCTGTGGGAACAGTTGGACTCCGTGACCTGAGAGAGTTTTTCCAACCCAACAATTCCACGACTTGTCAGGGGGACTTTGTGACGGGGCAGTTCCTGAGGGCGGTGTCCTGTCCCTTCCCGCCCTCAGGAATGCAACTGACGCGGGAGCAGTGCCAGGTGCCGGTGGGTCGGATGCCGTGCGTGGCTCCACAGGGACGGGATGGCTGCATCCAGGCGGGATGCTGCTACGAAGACACGGACCGTGCCACACCCTGCTACTACGGGAACACCGGTAGGACACTCAAGGAGGGGTATCCCAGGAATCCCCGTGGCACCAGGGTGATGGAAATCTCTCCGTGGCGCCACAGCCACCGTGCAGTGCCTGCGGGAGGGGCAGTTTATCCTGGTGGTCCCGCGGGGAATGGCCGTGCAGCCCTACAACCTGGACAGTGTGCGGTTGGCCAGGAGCCAGGCAGGATGTGAGCCCTTCCGCGTCACCGAGAGCTCTGTCATGTTCCGCTTCCCAGTCACCCACTGCGGGACCACCCTGCAGGTACCGGGAGACCCCTGAGCCCCCCAGGGGATTGGAGAGGGGCAGGAAACACTCAGAACAAAATGCTCATCCAGCCTCTGCCTCAGTCCCTGATCCATTTATCCCCCAGGATGCTCCCAACTCCATAACCCCCTTCAGGATAAGGAATTCACCTGCACTGCTTTGTGCCTCAGTCTCTGATCCATGGATCCCCCAGAATGTTCCCAGCTCCATGTTTCCACCTCGAAAACCCAAGCCAGGATAAGGAATCTATCCTCTGTCTCATGCCTCAAACCCTGATCCATTTATCCCCTGGGATGCTCCCAGCTCCATAACACAATTCAGTATAAAGAACTCACTTCCACTCTGCCTCCTGTCTAAGATCCTGATCCGTGGATCCCTCAGGATGTTCCCTGTTCCCATGTCTCCTCCAGGTTATCGAGGACCGGCTGATCTACGAGAACCAGCTGATCTCCACCATCGATGTCCAGGGATCCTCCCGTGGCTTCATCACCCGCGACAGCGTCTACATGTAAGGGAAAGGCAGGAAAAGCCAGACAGAGCCAGGATTCCCCTCTGGAAATCCAATCCTTCCCCCCCTCCCCCCCGCCATCAAGCCAATCCTTGCTCCTGCCAAATTCCCGGCTTTCCCCCCCAATTTGGGCTGGGAGAGGTGATGCTGTAAGGGGCGGATGGAGGACTTGGGAGTCTTCCAACTTCCTCTGCCCATTCCCAGTCTCCAAGCTCGGTGCATCTACAATGCCAGTGACTTCCTTCCCTTGGGAATGGAGGTGGCTGTGCCCCCCACGGCTGCTCCGCTGGCAGTGCCGGGACCGCTGGGGCTCCAGCTCCGGATCGCCACCGGTGAGCGATTCCCGGCTTCCCACCCCAATCCCGGCTCCCAATCCCGCTCCCCATTCCGTTCAACCCTCCCAACATTCCCACAGATGAATCCTACAGCTCCTACCACCCCATGGGCGACTTCCCCTTGGTGAGAGTGCTCAGGGACCCCATTTTCGTGGAAGTCCGGCTGCTCCAGAAGACGGATCCCAACCTGGTGCTGGTGCTCCACCAGTGCTGGGCCTCTCCTGGCTCCAGTGCCGCTTCCCAGCCCCAGTGGCCCATCCTGGTGGACGGGTGAGTGGAGTGGGATTGGGGGGATGGAAATGAGGGCGGATGGATGGTGCCCACAGAGGGTCTTTGCTGCCTGTCCAGGTGTCCCTTCCAGGGGGACAATTACCAGACACAGATGGTGCCAGTGGGTCCAGCCTCTCCGGAGCTGCCATTCCCGAGCCACTACCAGCGGTTTGTCATCTCCACCTTCACCTTTGTGGAGCCTCCCGGGATGGCCGTGATGGAGGGAGAGGTGGGTTGTGCATTTGCAGGGGTCCCAGTGTTGGGAATCCCTCATCCCAAATTCATCCCAGCTCTGAACTCCCCTTTTTGCTGCTTCCTCAAGGATAGGAGTCCCCTTACAGGTCTTCCCCAAAGCTTGAAGCTGCTTTTTTGGGAGTCTTCCCCAAGCCTTGAAGCCCCTTTCTGGGGGTCTCCAGCTGATCCCACCCCACCTGTGTTTCCCAGGTGTACATTTCCTGCAGTGCCTCTGTGTGCCACCTGGCCCAGCCAGAGCCGTGCCGCCCCTCCTGCCAGCTGGGAGCAACCTCACGTAAGTCCAGGAGCTTCCCGAGATTTACGGGTCCCTCCATGTGCCCTCCTTTTCCCACCCTAACCCTCTGTTCCCGCCAGGAGCGCGTCGGTCTCTGGGGAACAGCAGGACGGCTGATGGAATGGGAACAGTCACATCCCTGGGATGCATTCTCTTTCCCAAGGTTTCTAGGAGAAGCTGAGGAGGTGAGTGCTCTCTGCTCCCTGAAAACCCCTTCATCCCAAAACAACCCTTCATCCCTCTAACTCATCTCCTCTTCACAGCTCCTGCCTCTACCTGATGCTGCTGGATTTCTCTGGGAAAGCTGGAAAAATAAACCAGTGCAAATCACAGCTCCAGGGGTGGTTTATCCGGGGAGTGGGAGGAAAGGGGATCCTTCAGCCCTATTCCTAAGCTGGAAACATCCCCAGCCCCTCAAATCCTATGCTGGTACCCACCAAACCCTTTAAAGGAGCCTTTTCCCAATGGGATGACAGGGAATAATCCTTTATTTCCATACTGAAACTAAGTGACTGCGTACAAAAATCTGCACATTCCTTCCCTCCTTCCACACGTCCCAGCCTCCAAATTCCACAAGCACAAGGATAAGGGGGCAGGGGAGGGGGTTCACATCAGTTACAAGCACAAAACAATTCTAAAGGCGGAAAACACACGGAATTAGGAAAAAAAACCCTAAACAATGAATTCACAGAGTGTGGGGAAGACGACGCCCAACTTCCCCCTTGCACCAACAGCTACGACAGGGGAGCTTGATAATCCCACTGGGGTATTCCCATTTGGATAATCCCATATGGATATTCCCACCCACCTCCCACCCCGAATCCTGGCGGGATCCCGGGATTACAGGCTGTAGAACTTGAGGCTCCGGTCCATCCCCGTGGACGCGATGAACTTGGTGTGGTGGCCAAAGGCCACTCCCGTAGTCAGGCCACTGTGCTCTGAGGGTGGAAAACATTCCCAGGTCACGGCTCCCTGGTTCCCATGGATCCCAGCCCACCTAAAGCATCCCAATCCCTCACCTGTGAAGTGCAGGATCTCCGTCCACTGCTTGCAGATGTAGATCTGGACGTCGGTCCCGCCCAGCGCCAGGTAGGTCCCACTCTGGTCGAAAATCAGGGATTTCACCTGCGGAGGAGAAGTGGAACAAGGCGTTGGAAAAGCTCCCAAGCGTTTTTGGGACGCTGACCCCATTTCAGGAGGGGAGCAGGGGAAGATGCTGTCACACACCTCGAAGTTGTTGTCCAGCTGCAGCGTCTTGAAGTTCTTGAGCTTGCGCAGATCCCAGAGTTTGACGGAGGAGTCGTCGGCGGCCGTGGCCAGGTAATATCCGTTCTCGGAGAAGGCAATGCTGGTGATGGGCCCAGAGTGTCCCGGGAAGTTGGCCACGTTGGTGCGTTCCTGGGGATGAGGGGGTTAGACAGGGAATCACAGCAGAGGAACGTGCCAATGTTCCGCTCAGGAGCTAACGGGATGAACGGACCTTCCTGGCACAACCCCAATCGCTGCTATGGGGTCACTGCTGAAACTGGGGGCTTTAGGAAGAAACTCCCTAAAACGTTCCTAAAGTCCCACTGCTTGGACTCCCAGACATTCCCACATCAGGGCCAGTCCTACCTTCAGATCCCAGATCTTGATTTGCGAATCCATCGTTCCCGTCCCAAAAATGAGCCCGTCTGGGTGGAACTGGGCACAGGTGAGAGCTGGAGAGACATGGGGACACTCAGGCTTGGGAATAATCACGAGGGCTGGGAAGACTCAAGGACAGCCCAGAGACCCCTGGGATAGGGATACTCATCCCTAATCCTTACCACATCCAGAGCTCTCATCTGTCACCTTGGTGAGGACACGGCCCGTCTGGATATCTGAGAAAGCCCAGTACTGGGAAAAGACAGGAAGAACATTGGCTCCAGAGGAGTAGGAAGCACGGGGGGGATCTGTGGGATGGGAGGGTACGTGTCCCACCTGGTCATCCGAGGAGCTGAGCAGGTAATCTCCGGTGGCGTGGAGGCTGAGCCCAGTCACGGAGCCCTCATGGGCACGGACCACCTGGACACAGGAGGCATTGGGAATGGACCAGATCCGGATCGTGGCGTCAGGAGAAGCCGAGAACACCAACTCCTAAACAGGGACCACCCAGGAAAGTCAACATGGGCAGGATTCACCTGCCCCAGAGCTCCCAGGTGGAGAATCTGGTGGAAAAGGGTCCTGAAATGCAAACTTAAGGAACCCTGGATTCGAGGGAAGAGGCCACAGGCACCTGGGATGGGTGGAAGACGACACTGGTGACCTTCTTGGTGTGTCCTTTGAGCGTGGCCAGGATCTGCTCCGAGCTCTTGTCGAACACAATGACATTTTTATCTGCCCCACCTGGAAAACCAAGCGGGAAGTGCTGGGATGGGAGTGTGGGGCCAGCAACTCCAAATCCCACCTGCTTTTCCTGGGAAATCCTACCCTCAGCAGCTTTGCCATGAGGGGAGGGAGTCTCTCACCCCATTGTCCCACCCTGAATTCTTAATAGCACAGAGATACCATTCCAGGCAGCCACATTCCAGCCTTACCAGTAAGGATCTTGTTGGTGTCAGAAGGACACAGATCCAAGGCCAGAATTCCTGGGATGCTGGCGCTGTGCAGCCCCTGTGTGAGGCAGGACACCCCAAATTAATACCACAAGCAGGAAAATGCTCCCAAAAGGAATCCAGAAACCTCAAGGGATTCCCAGCTCACAGTCTTCCAGCCTTTTCCCATCCTGGCACTCACCACGTGGGAGGCGATCTGCCGGTACTTGCTGAGCTCCTCTGGCTTCACCAGCTCCTCAGGAACAGTCTTGCCCCTCTGGAAAACGGGGAAAAACATCGGTCTCTCTTGGAACACAGCACATCCCAGCTCCCATAGAATGTTTAGATGAGGCTACTCACCTTTTTACGCTCCGTGGTCAGCACCGTGGCCTTGTCTTGGAGCTGGAAAATAAGAGGAGGGTTGGCATGGGTCGGGAATTCCACGGGAGAGCAGGACACACGGAGCAGCCCTTACCTTCTGGATGATCTCTGGGGTCATTCCTGCCAGTTCTCCCAAATCCATGGCCTCCCCGGCACCCTGCGTGGGACAGAGAAACAGGGGTGTAGGGGGACATGCAGAGGAGAGAATTGGCAGTGGGAATGAGCAGGAAAAGGGCTGGGAAGGACTAGGATAGGGAGCAGGGACTCACCGCCACGTTGGGCTGTGCCGACGGCACCGCCTGGGGCACAATGAGCCCAGCCTGGGGCTTCAGGGTGGCCAGAGCTGCAGGAACACAGCAAGTTGGGACAGGAATGGGCACAGAGCTGTTCCCACGGGAACAGGAAGTTTCCCATGGGACAGGCACCCACCTTCCCTGGCGGCCGTGACCTCCTTGGTGAGGCGGGCAATGACGCGGCAGGCGGCGTCGTGCTGGTACAGGGCGTGGGACAGCTCCTGGCGCGTGGTCTGCAGCTGCTGCCGCAGTGTAAAGCTGTGCAGCATCACAGCATCCTGCGGGACACGCCAGCAATCAGCCAGGGACACCCATCCCACCCAGCATCCCACAGGGAACGGCCCTGCGGCTTACCCACTCGTCCTGCAGCGCTTTCAGGATGGCCGGGATGCTGGTGGCCGACGGGGGCTTGGGGCGGATCGGGTGGGCAACTGGCAAGGAAAAGGGTCATCCGTGTCCTCAGTATCCCTCAGGATCTCTGCACTCCAATCTCACCTCCCCAGGCTCTCCCATTCCTCAGGAAATCCCTTCCCATCCCCGCCCCCGCTGGGTGTCTGTGCCGGTTCCCGCCACCCCACAAATTCCCAGGAATGCAGAGGCCGGCGTTCTGGGGCACCTTTGATGTCGATGAGCTGCTCCTCAGCCAGGGGCTGGTTGTTGACAGGGTCGGTGCCGTTCTCGGCAATGTACTTCTCGATCAGCCGCCGCTCGTACACGTGGTTGGACACAGGCGACACGCACGGGTGCTCCGGCACCTCGTTGGAGACTGGGAATCCCGGGAACGGGGGGTTATGGAGCCACAGCGCCCTGCCCGTGGGGACCCTGCCCAGAGCCCGGGAATTCCCCCTCCCAGTGACTCTGCAGGGCTGGGAAAACCCCACCCGTGACCCCCCCCCTCGGTGACCCCCTGTCCACGAACCCCACAAACCAGCAACCCCATAAACTGCTCACCCCTTTCCCAGTAACTCCTCTCCAGTAACACTCGAGCCCAGGAAATCCCTGCCCAGTGACTCCCAATGTGGGAACCCCATAACCCAGTGACCCCCTGCCTGGTAAGCCCCAGTCCAGGAACCCCATGAAATGATGACCCCTCTCCAGAGACCCCATAAACCAGAGACCTCTGCTCAGGAACCCCATAAACCAGTGACGCCCTGCATGGTGACCCCCAGTCTGGGAACCTCACAAACCAGTGACTCCCCTCCAGTGACCCCATAAACTGCTCACCCCTCTCCCAGTAACTCCTCTCTCAGTAACACTCGAGCCTGGGAACCCCATAAACCGGTGACTCTTTCCCTCCAGTGAGCCCATAACCAGGTGACCCCCTGCTCGGGAACCCCATAAACTGGTGACCCTCCTCCCTGGTGACCCCCAACCCGCGAACCCCATAAACCAGTGAGCCCCTGCCCAGGAAGCCCATAAAACGGCGACCTCCTGCCCAGCGACCCCAGTCGGTGAGCCCCAAAACCTGGAGACGCCCGGACCACTGACCCCATAAAACAGAATGAGCCTCAGTCAGAGAACCCCATAAACCGGTGAGCCCCTGCCCAGGGACCCAACAGACAGGTGACCCCACAAATCAGGAACCCCACAAAGTGGTGCCCCCTTGCCTAGCGACCTCGTAAACCGGTGACGCCATAAACTGGTGCCCCATGCCCGGAGACCCCATAAACCGGTGACCCGATAAACCGGCGACGCCATAAACCGGTGCCCCTTGCCCGGTGACCCCATACCCGGCGCCCCCCTGCCTGGCGACCCCAGAAACCGGAGACCTCATAAACCAGGAACCCCACAAAGTAGTGCCCCATACCCGGCGGCCCCCTAAACCGGTGACGCCACAAACCAGTGCCCCCTGCCCGGTAACCCCATAAACCGGTAACCCCACAAAAAGGCGCCCCCCATCCTTTGCCCGGTGCCCCCCCCCGCACTCACTGGAGCAGATGAGCGCCATGGTGGCCGGAGGGAGCTGCAACCTCGCTCCCAGCCCCGCTTCTTTCCGCTCCCGGTCCCGCTTTTTCCCGCTCCCGCTTCCCGGTTGGCGCGCGCGGCCCCCAAGCCCTCACGCGGCCGCCGCCCCCGGAATCGGAAGCGCTCCCGGCGTCCCTCGCGCGCTCCCCCTCCCCCTCCACCCCGCGCCCAAGGGAGGGAAATGGCGCCTCCCGCTCCCCCTTTCGTTGCCACGGCGACTGCCTACAACTCCCGCTTTGCATCGCGGTGCATCCCGGCGTGCCCCGCGGAGGGCCGAGGACTACGGATCCCGGCATGCCTCGCGGCCCCTCGGGGACTACAGTTCCCAGCGTGCCCCGCGGCGGCGACGAGAGAAGCCCCCGCGGTGAGGGGGGGTCGAGGGGGATCGCGGCGTGGGGGGGGAAATAGGGGGAAATCGGAGGAAATTTGAGGGGGATAAGGGGGGATGTGGGGGTGTGGGCCCGGTGGAGA